TAAACCGTAGGCAGAGAGGGAGAAGAGGACAACAAACGAGGGGCTGTGACAAACTGTTTCGTCGGAGTTTCACCGACTCATCAGGAGGCTGATATATATATATATCGTCACAAATAGAACTGCCCGGTAAACCGTAGGCAGAGAGAGAGAATATATATATATATCACACATCCACATGGGCAGCCCTGTACGCAAGAGGTTCTGAACAGGGGACGTTGTATGTAAGAACTACTAAAAAGATAAAAAACGAATTGATATCTTTTTCGGTTCCTTTTGTTTCTTTTTGCTTTTGCGCTTTGATAACTTCGTGACAATATATATATATATAGTTATGTGACAATATATAAACTCCGAGGAAACAGTTTGTCACAACCCTTCGTTTGTTGTCCTCTTCTCCCTCTCAGCCTACGGTTTACCGGGCAGCTCTGTTTGGCTTATTTATACATACATCCCCCACAAGATAGTAATTACACTCGACATGGGGGATTCAATGTCTCTGTTTTGGAGACTGCTTTCATAAGGCGCTGACTTGATATGCAGCGTGCCCCTTCAGGTGGCGACCCGGACCACTGTTCTATATGCAGCAAGCCCCTTCGGATGGCGACCCGGACTACCGTTCACACGTTTGTGCCTATATTCTACATGCTCCTAGCCACTACACCGCTCTTGTCCATGCCTCTGGTTCTTGGGAATTTTGGAATGGCGGTGCTATGGTGCAAACTATTACTGCCATCTATGATCTCATGCGTAATTACCCTAACCCGCAAATGTTCCAGGTCATTGACCATATGGGTACCTCGTGTACTTCCATGCCCGCCTCTACGCCTATCTCTGTGCCTGCCTCCGTACCTGTCTCTGTGCGTGTTTTTGTGTCTGTCTCCTTCCAAATTACCAACTCTATGGGTACCACGTGTACTTTTGTCCCCGCCTCTGCACCTGACTCTGTGCCTACCTCCACACCTGTCTCCACGCCCATTTTTGTGTCTGTCTCCGTGCCTACCTCCATGTCTGTCACCGTGCCTGCTTTAGTCTTTATTCCCCCACATACTGCACTAACACCTTGTGACCTCCTTCTTTCTGAGATAACTGACACAATACACTTGGTTGTGGAAAGCATCGACTTTTGTCGACATCACTACAACCATATAATTGTTTGGGCCCGCTGTCAACAGGGATGCCACCTGTATCCGGATTGTGAACATCCTCAACATCCAGATGCAGTACGTCCCATCTGTGCCTGCGAGCGCTATAGCAAATGTGCACTTAACTGTGATGGTGAACGCCCCACAATTGTCATGGCCTGCAACCGGCATGCCCTCTGTCGTGCATGCTTCAGAGGTATGGTTAATGCTAGCCGCCCTGGCTCCTGCTGTGACAAAGTTGCTTACCTGAATGGTTTTCGTCCTGTAGATCAGCGGGAGGGCAGCTACCATCGTCCGCATCCTTATCACAGTTGTCCTATTTGTCGTGAGGGTCTTACATAGGCGTACCTTGCACCCTGATAAAAATGTGCAGGTGCGCTGAAAGAGTGCACAAGAATGTGCAAAGGTGGGGAACCCTTCACTAAAACGGCAAAACTGTGAAGAATGCAGTAAAAGAAGAACATAAGTTTGTCATTTTACTTCGTTTGTACCCTGCGCCCTAACACCCTAAAAAAAACAGTCTGAAGGGTGAAAATGAGGATGAAAAATGAAGAAGGACGTGCAGGTGCGCTGAAAAGCGAACGTGGTAGACTCTTCACCAAAACTGCAAAACTGTGAAAGAAAGAAGAATGCAGTAAAAGAAAGAAGATGTTTGTGTCAACATCTTTTATTTTTTCTCCCTCTCCCTATTGGTTTTGATTTTCTGCTCCTCTCTTCCTTGTGTTTAACACCTCTTCCTTCACTCTGCCCCATAGCGTGCAAGTGGGCTGTTATGGCATATGGGGATGGGGGCAGCTCGCGCTCAACTTCATCAACGTGGTGATCCTTGTACCTTAGAGGCACAGTGGAGGAGGCGCTAAGAAGACTGAGAAACTGAATGATTTCAATGTGTCTTTGTTTTTTATTTTTATCCTTTGATTCAGTGTATTTTTTTTTTTGTAAAACACTTAATAATACTGTGAAACAAAGAATAAGAGGACACTGTTTTGTGTCATTCTGGTTTGTCTGTCTCTTTTCATTTTTCTTTTCTTCGCTCATCTTATTCTAATATTATACTAGACCTTTAACAGATAGACCTCATTCCCTCCTTAA